GTCGGCGAAGGTCAGCTTTCAGTTCTATTATTCTGGGTTTCCGCACCTCAATAATATGAACTCAACTGTATGAGGATTTTCAAGGTATTTCATAGTAGTCATCTATTGTCAGGTACCTTTGACCGACTGAGCCGAGCGACCGCCGAGTCGGGCTCGCCAAGGGACGTACGTAGTAACAGTGAAGACAGCTGTTCACTACAATAGGTTAGGACTAGCTCCCTACACTTGGGGGCCGTTCCTGGAAATATCTGGTTCTATAACCTCTAAGTTCGTGTCAAAGTTGAAAAGTTGACCACATAGGTGTATGGAATCCAAAGTTTTGCTCAGAGCCTGAATCGTGTAGCTATGCGCCTTCGGAACAGAAGATTGCCAGGCGCTCTCTCCACAGGCTCCCCCGAAGAAATGTCCCATATACGGGAACCCGGTCAAGATCCTGTACCAGCGATACTAGATCACCAAGATTCTGGCACACCTCCACGAAGAGGTGCTTCCTACTAGACAGGAATTAAAGCCGAATTAAAACCCCCGCTGCAGAACTGAACAGAGGAGATCGTCCAGTTGAAGCGAGAGGTAGGGACCTTATGTTACAAATGGGTGTGGCAAAGCAGGCACCCACGGTTCTGCAGTTAATGGTAGGAAGAAATGAAGGCGACATGCGGAGCAGCCTACACCTTATGGAGACCCGGTTTACAAAACTAGGCCTAGGAACGACGATATTAGGGAAACATGCCACAGAAATACTCGGGAGGTCGCACACTAATGCATTAAGGCTATTCAATGGAGACAGAATAGGCTTGATAGGCTGGGCACCGCTGAAGCGTGATATGCTTTAACATTTATGCACGCTGAATCGGCCTGAATGTTGCGCAGCTAATCCGCGGCGAGGAACCTATCAAGCGTTCTTGGCGAAAATAGTAACATAGGAAACATGAAGATAGTAACATAGGAAACACGTCTGCCTTTAGCAGAAATCCTGGAGCACTTCATGGCCAGCTTGCAGCAACAGTTGTGCAATGCTTCAAGTGAGGGCTCTACTGTCCTCCTTAAGGACTGCAAAGAAGCGGTAGCTGAACTCGCAGTCTTGAAAGGCCATAGGCGGCACATGCAGACGTGTGCAAGAGGCGACGCAATGAGCTGGCTCTCACTGTTAGCGTGCGAATAACCTGTAGGCAGCGGCTTCCAGCAAACCCTAAGGACTGAAAATGGCTGCTCTTGGCAAGCGAGCAGGTGGGATCAATCTCTTTAGAGGGTAAGAAGAAGGGGCACCTAGCCAAAAACTGTCCCAAACATTGTGGCAGCACCCGCCGGCCGGAAGAGAGTGGCATCCGGTGAAGAGATGCAAAGCATTAATCTAGAGATTGTGCTACACCGCTGAAGCTGCGGCTAGTGCTCAACGAAGGAGTGACAAGCATGCCAAGGCACCCCGAAAGGAAGTGACAACGGCAGCGTTTAAAGAGCGATCTGTAGTGCGCAGGCACTACAATAGGGCTTTCTGGTGAACTTTAGAGGGCAGCTAGCTGGTGACCTATAAGAGGTTAAGACACTAAAAGAGCACGGAAGCTTCTTACTAGTAACGAAGTGAGGCAATTTATCAGCAAATTAAGATGTGTAAACCAGAATTGTCCGTGAATACCCGAAGATTGGGGCTGGCGATAGCGCCAGCACCAGTGCGGGCCACCGCCCCACAGGGCCAAGAAAGCAAGAACCCTGAGTGGAGGGGATTTTAAGAAAAATCGATTTCAGAACTTGAAAGATGATTGCTATTATTGATAATTTAGTATTTGTTTCATGAGAGATGCGTCGAAAGTAGAAGGGTTTTTAAAGGGCGTCCTATTCGTGGGCAAGGTAGCAGCGTAGTCGCAGCAGAAGGCGCTGTGCACTACATTTGGGGGCTGCTCCGAGATTGAAATTTTTTTTTCTTTCCGGACCCGAGAGTAGAAATACTTTGTCCTAATATTTCACTCCTATGTATCTTAGCTCGGTAGGGGATGCATCTACGGAACGGACGCGTTATCGCCCTCACGCAGCAGGAGACTTCTACGATGTCTGTAAGCAAAGTGCCCAGCGGGACACTGGCCCCCCATCGTCATGCTACTCCTAAACCCACCGTGGCAGAGCGGCTGTATGGGCATAAGGAGGCGCCTTCACAGCTGGTGCCTATAGCCAATGTTACCGGCATGCCAGGGGACAGTCCATCCGTCACGTGGGACCAATTCCACTCCGTGATGGTTGTGATAAGAACTGTTATAGGCGGTTCCCGGGAATCGGGCGCAGCGTTTCCCATACTACCAGAAGACGGCAGCACTGTGCAGGCGTTTTTGCTGCGCATGGAACGACGGTTCACCCAGATGCAATTGGAGGGGCCTATGATAACCGTCTACCTTCGGCGCATCCCCTTGAAATAACAGTCCAAATATCACAAAATGTAGTTAATTAAATTTTTTTAAAATCTATTTTCTTGAAAATCCCCCCCACTCGGGGTTCTTGCTTCCTTGGCCCTGTGAGGAGGATGTAGTGCACAGCACCTCCTGCTGCGACTTCGCTGCTACCTGCCCCCTCGAGTAGGGGCCTACGATGACCGTCTACCTTCGGCGCACTTGCTTGAAACAGTAGTCCAAATATCACGAAATGCAATTACAGTTTTTCAAAATCTGTTCTCTTTAAAATCCCCCCCACTCGGGGTCCTCGCCTCCTCTTCCATGTGGGGAGGAGGCCTGCTGTAGTACACTGTGTTCTCTATAGCGTCTACGATGCTGCACGACACTCAACTCTGGCGCTCTATGAAATCTTCTCTTCCACAGATGCATCGGCCTCGTGACGTCAGCCAAATTATTAAAAAGACCATTTTGTTTCAAGTTCTCAAAATTATACTTCATAAAAGTCATTTCTTATCGTTCTTGCTTTGCTGGTCCGGTGAGCATGTGACGCGCACCGGTGCCGGCGGTGTCGGCAGCCCCAATCTTTGGGCATTCGCAGGCATTTCTCCTTTATAAATGTTAATTTGTTAATAAATTGCATTTCTATTTCACTAGTAAGAGGTTACAGCGCTCAATCTGCGTCTCAGCCTCTTAACCGCTTATAGGTCATCAGTTAGCTATCCTCTATAGGTCACCAGCAAGCCCTATTGTAGTGCCTCCGTACTACAACTTCCCCCCTTGCCGGACTGAATCGGCCTACCCAGAACACATTTTTTCTGCATTTTCAGTATCCATTCCTTTCTGAAGCTAATGCCATGAGCGCACGCGGTGCGCAGCGCTTCCTCACCCCCTCGTCATTGAAGACCGTTGTGTGGCAGACGTTGACTGACCCAAACCGCTACGCCTCGGAAGGAGCAAGATTGTTTCGAGCCTGAAGACGTCTTCTATGACGGCGATGACAAGCACGGAGCAAAGCCTGACATCCCGCTAGGTGGTTAGCGGGCTTCCACGTGGCTCGATCATCGGGGGTGCCGCGCCACTAGACGAGGTACTGGGCGTCGGCGCCTGAGCCGCGTTGGTCCATAATATAATCGACCTCATACTCCTCTGTCGGACTGCCTGCCGCATCGTGGATACGGGGCCAGGCGGTATTGGCTTCCTGGGGAACTAAGTCTGGAGGGCGGGGGCGGTGGGTAACTGCGAAACATGAAAAACGTTGTGGCATTCATAAGTAGTAGGTAAAGCAAGGCGGTAAGCGACGGTGCCTATTCGTTCAATGATTTCAAAGGGTCCTCCGTAACGGGGCTCGAACTTCTCTGAGCTAGATGAAGCCGGTAGATGCTTGCTGCTGAGCCAGACCTTGTCTCCCACCGCATACTCCACGGCTCGGCGTTTTGTGTCTGCGTGGTACTTCTGCCATTTTGCTTTCAGGATGTGACTCTATGCTCTATCGCAGAGCTGCCGGAAAAGCTTAGTCATCGGAGGAGTGAGCGTGGGAGCTAACGCGCCGACGATATCAAGGTTCGCAGCAGTCAACGGATTTTCGCCAATCATGACCTCGAAAGGAGAGAGCTCGGTAGATGAATGACTTGCTGTGTTGTAAGCAAGTTCCAGGGCCAAAAGCAAACGCTCTCACTCGCGTTCGTCAGACTGCGTGTAGGTATGAAGCATCTGCTCCAGTGTGCGGTTAACCCGCTCAGTTTGGCCGTCGCTTTGAGGATGGTAGAATGAGGACATGCACCGTTTGATGTTAAATCGGCTATAGAGTCACTGCTAGAGGCCCGACTGGAAGCGGGGGTCGCGGTCCGATATGAGCACCTCTGGGAATCCATGGTGGCGGATAAGACGGTCTGCGAGAAGCTCCACGGTGTCTGCTGCTGTGAATGGCTTCTTTGCAGGAACGAAATGAGCAATCTTGCTGAGGGAGTCGACCATCACGAGAATCCAGTCGTGCCCTGTCTTTGTAAGGGGAAGATCCGTGATAAAGTCGAGACTCACGTATGCCCAGCGACGAGAAGGGATGAGCAACTGTTGAAGAAGGCCTGCAGGTGTCTGGCTCAGAGACTTAGAAGTATGACAGTGAGTACAGGAATCAACATAGGCAGTAGTATACGCGCGCATCCCTGGCCAGTAGTAGTGCTTGCTCAGAGCCGTGAAGGTCTTCTTCTGGCCTCGATGGCCGGCTGTGACATGGTCGTGATGTG